TTGTTTTAATAATCATAAAACTCAGAATAAGCGTTAACCTTATCAAGAATACGATAACTCAGAAGTTGTTATTGTATTAAAAGGGAAAAATTAAGAGGGTAGAAGGAAAAAGAAACAAAAAGGGTTTAGACAATGAATGAAGGCCATTTGGTCCGGGATTTACAAATGACATTTGCAGGCCCGAATGAATAAGTCAGTTGTGAATTTTTATTGGTTTCTCGCTAGGCGCATTTGGAGACCAGGTCTTGAATAAATGATCAATTCCGATCCATGCCCGGTATGAAGACTTTAAAAACATGTCGAACGGCACTTCACGATGATAATCCTTCTGCAATTGAGGTCCACCCGTTTGAAAGTAATTCACCAGGCCCCAGTGCTCAAATTCTTTCTCTGGCACCTCCAGACGCTTGCGGATACGTTCTCGTAGAACGCTGTAAGGCTCTTTGTCATGCAAAATAACCGTAAAGGGAACGCCGAAATTCATATGTATAATGCTGTCAAAATGGGTTACATGGATTACACATTTGTCGGGCCCCAAATTAAGCTCGTTGTGCGGCACCTCTTCCACACGTAGACTATAATCCATGGGAGGAGGAAAGATCCGACACGGGAGTGAACAAGCCACTGGGTTGTTTGCGGTTGCGTAGCAATGGGGTAAGGTTTCATTAGCAGAGATCTGCGCTAATTCGAGCTCTCGTGGAAACTCCTAAATGATGGGTGGAATAGAAAACGAATGGATATATAAGGGTATTTATAAAATGTGGTTTTTTATTTGAAAGTAACTCTTTCGGCCGATTCAGTGAAAGATCCAAGGCGGGCTGGGTACGAGATCTGAGTTTGTGTCTCAATTGAAAGAAAATATATTTACACGAAAAGGTTTTTAAATGCATAATGCTCAATATGCTAAGGAATCTTGAACACAAAGTATGATTCAAAAGGTATTAATGAGATCTTTGATAAAGCTTACTTGGACAATCCTATTGGACTTTACTTCTAAAAGGCGGAGAACGCCAGATCCTCCTGGTTGCAGCTGAATATGTCTGGCAGCCTCAGCCAAAAGGTCGGCCACAGTGCCATTCTGCGCTACCGACAATAGCAATTCGGCCTGTTCCTGAAGCCGGGGACTAACATAGACAACACGCATCTGTCGAATCTGTTTTAGCTTGTGGATACTGATTTTTAGATGGACGTAGTAGACTCTTCGAGGCGACGGCTGGCTAAAAGGGCCGTATAGTCTTGAAACAAGAGACATCAGATAAGAGAATTGATAAAACTTCAAAGTGCTGTCTTTCGTCATAAGTACTTCACCAGTAGAGCCGAGAACTCCCCCCATTAGCTCAATGTCTGATCCCGAGAACATTGATCGGGTGTGGCCGAATTGCTGCTGGCCAGGTTGGCCGTGAATAGGATGCTGCGACTGTATATCTAGCAGCTGCGCCTCCGACTGCAGTGAAAACAGCAAATCAGCAAGAGGTTTCTGGTAGGTGGAAAGGATTGTGTCACCAGGTGGCTCGCGCAGAAAGGCGTGAGCAGTGATTCATGCTAGGATAGCATCTTTATAGGGCGAAAACTCAAGGAAGCCTAAAATAATGAAAATTTGACAAACAAAAAAGTAAACATTAAATAAATAAATATATATATATGAATAGAAAAAAGGTGTAACCTGGAGAAACAAGTTTGGAGGGAAATAAAGTGGTGTTG